ATGAAGAAATTTGATAAATTGATAGATAAAATATGTATAAATTGTTTGAATTGTTTCAAATCAAAAATTACATACGTCCATAGATAAAATGAAATATTTTACTTAACAATTATAGGAAATATATACTTATTGCATGGCGTTAACCTACCGCTCTGGGGAATCCGGTTTTAAATCTGGGTGGTTCAGAACCCCAGGAATTTTCCAGAGAATGGTCTGTCCAGTACCTCAGCACTCGGCTGCCCCATTGTGGGCACAAATCCACTGTCTTTTTAATCATACTCATCGTGGGCTTAGTCGAACTCATAATGGGACAACTGGATGATGATAAGAAACGGCGCCTGACTTTTCTAAACAAAGTACTCATAAAAATTCCTGTGGTTTTAAGGTTCCTGATTCCCCAAAACGATGGGCTGACGCCTTAACCAGCTTCGGCCATCCGTCCATTTAATGGGATATCCGGCCTCCCCATTATGGACCTAGCCAAACTCACGAAAGTTCATATAATGAAGACTGTTTTAATGCTCGTAGGGAAGAAAAAGCGAAAAATAAAAAGAAAATAATAAACGAAATAGGCCTATTATTTGAAAATCTACAGAAATCCTAAAATTTAATTAAAGTTTAATATTCATTGAAATTGAAATAAAATTTTCATGTAGAAATATTCATAACTTTTAAGTATTTAGAATTTATCTCTACTCTTTTCGATTTTATTTTAACAAATGACATCGGCCGTATAAAAAGTGTTTAGCCAGCGGAAGAAGGGAAGGGAAGAAGGAGGGTGAGAAGAGAGAAAGGAGAGATAGGAAGGATCCCTCTGAGCGGTATACGTAAAGTTACTACTCCCACTACGATTAATGTTGGCCTGCATATTTTTGGCTGTAAGGCCGTGGGTCTGAAAGAAAACCTGAGTTGTAGCACACAATGTGAGACCTGAAAGGCCCCTGGGTCTAAAACAGTAATTTTATTAATAACGTTAAATATTGTCATAAAATATTATTTCGTTTGGGTGAAAAAATTAACGCTTTAGAGTTGGAAAAATAGATAACAGATGCTACTTCCTTCTAGGGAAGTTAGAACATCCTCTGTCTTTCCCTTATCTGCGAAAAACCTCGCTTTGATGGGAAATGTTTACCCCTCACATATTCCTCTTTCCATCCGTTCCCACGGAGGAATCTTTGCATGATGATTGGTCGCCGATCGTCACATATAGAGGAAATTTATCAGAATTCGAGGAGTTCATCGACAGACCTGGAAGTGTCCGGACTCCACATGTTTTCCTCCTGATGACCAACGCCCTTAGACGAGTCACATAGAATAATTCCCGAGTTAGCACTTAGAAGTTATACTTTGATTTTGTGCACATATCGATCTCCCAGGGAAAGAAGTAAATGAACTTTATCTCCAAAGTGTCCCTTGCCTACAGAGAAGAAGATGAACGACAACTAAAACAGGTTGTATGTTTCTAACGATTTTGTGAGCTCTCTCTCTCTCGATCGCGCATCGGTTAAAGTATAAGCCCTTATCGTCACACGACTTATAGTCTGTAATCTGTGGTAGTTGTCTCCTTATCATATATTTGTATTTCTATTATTTGGTTACGTTTAATTAAATTTATTTTAGTTTTTGTTAAAACAATGACTCTTAATTTGTGTCTGAATCAGATCTCACACGCGTGTTTGTCCGCGGAATTTAATTGACAAACTGGTGTCACGAATCCTGACGTTGATAAAGACTTTGCCGTCTATATCCTCTCTAATATTAAAAAGCCCTCCCGGTCAAAATCCTGATTAGGATCGGATCTCTCTATCCGAAACTCAGAGAACAGATTTCGGTTAATCTGAGCCCGTAAGAGGTATAGGATCAACCCTATACCCTTGGCCAATCTCACAACAACAATAAGTAGTATATTGTCCAGATTAGACTTGTTCTTAGTCTGTTGTTCTCTTATAGCATGGAGGCACTTCGATCTAACATATGCACATGATAGTTCGGACAGAATTTGAACTTGGAATTTCGAACTAACCGAATTCCTTAACATGTAAATCTATACATCTCCGGTCGGGACAAATAGCAGAGTTACGAACTAACGTGATTTCGAAGTATCCGTGTTAATTAACTACTAAAATAATACAGAAACTAAGCTAGAAAGCCCTATAAGAAGCATAAGAACCTAACTAATACAACTAGGAGAAACAGCGAATATACTGATAACTTAAATTTAACTTAACTGCCTTAAAATATACTTTTACGAACTTAAATACTAACTTAAAGTTAACTTATTACTAACCAAGAATTACTGAAAAGAACAACAAATCAGACAGAATAGAGAATGCAATGATAAAAGACCTACGACTAAAACGCCAATTTATTTTATTTTTATTATTATATATAAGAAGACAAAAGACAACACGAAGAACAATGAAAGATAGACAAAACAGAACCCGAAAACTACAAAGAAACAAGACACAACATAAAAGAACTAGCTGTACAATTAACCTTAAAAGGAACTAGCTGTACAATTAACCTTAAAAGGAACTATACAATGAGAACCAGGAAATCTATGCGCTGTGTGGGCCATCTTGAAGAGAGAATACACGGGCTTAACAATTAAAACGATAATACATGAATGATAAATTTCTTACCTAATTCAAATAGAATAATACAGCAAAAAACTGCAAGGTAAAACGAAACAGAAAAACACATCATTATTCTTCTATATTCGAAGTTAATTTTTACAGTAAATTTGAAAGACTTTTATAGATATTTGACAAGTATTACGTGAACATTTTGTTCTTTCATTGGTTCGTACATTATTTGCTTTTCGTGTTTTATTGTTTAATGCACCTGTTTCCTTTACGTAACCCACGAACATTGAGAAAAATTAAATTAAAACGAATATTTTATATAATGACCTTGATTAATTAAAATAATAATGTTTTATATAAGTTTTACAGAAATTAAAATTCCTTCAGAAGTACTATTAGTTTAAAATATGATAATTATACCTTCGATATACTGATTGAAAATAGAATTTAAAGAAAATTCATCAATAAAACAGCTAGATAAACATTCATTTTGTTCAATTCAAATGACAATTGTTACAGGCTTTTTATAGAATGAATGTTTAAAAACTTTCTGGAAAAGTTGCGCGTTAGGATATACTATAGTCTGGTTTTGTTTAATTAATAAATCATAAATAAAGACGAAAAACATTGCCGAAGTCTAAAAGATTGTATTAGGGTACATTCTAAAAATGGAAATAAGCAAACTAAATAGCACTAAACGTAATATCGGGAGTTGCACTAAAATTAGGTATGAAGAAGACCAAAAGTATACGCTCTTTAATCATATAAGGAAATAGATAAAGTCCGTATCACTTTCCAAGAACCGAACCACATATAAAAACTCCGGTAAACAAAGGGAAATAGACAGATAGACGGACATGGATAAAAGACCAAAAGAATGGTACAGCTTACCTACAGAGTACAGTAGTGTCTAGCTGCAGTTTTACACACTTAAGTCGTCGCACCAGAGACTTGCCCAAAGAAAGAATTTCGTTTCGTCTCTCCTGAAACCCGATTGAAAGTAGGATAATACTTCGAAAAGCGCGTTATCGGTTACTGGTGTGTTCTTAATACCTAATATCCTGTTACGTCACTTGAACTATTACGTTTGTATTAGAATAGTATCTTATTGTAAACCTTAAACGGGTTCCTTTCAGTTTATAAGTAAATTTTAATTGAAAGTGACAGCCGTAGTATTTATTTCGGACTTTGAACACTGAAATGTTCAGAATTTACTAAACTATTTAATTATTAGGGCATAGAGTATGTAGTGTCAGTGACGAGTATAGATGCCATCATGTTCCGAATACTTCTTCAGTTTTGGCAAGTTTCCGTTTAATTAACGTTTTACTTTGTACGGATTTTACTATATACATCTACATATTATTCGAAGAACACTGTTTAAATTATAATTAAAGAAATAGTTTAATACTGTATGTATATATATATATATATANCTATTCCTTTACCTTCCATCCTAATATTTTTATTTCATTTCTTTCGAATTTTCTCCATTATTTATATTGGAAAAAAAACAACCGAGTAAGAAATATAATAAGAAAAAATTCTCATTCTTATTTCTTCGGGCAAAAAACGTATTTATAATCGATACTGTACGTAAATCGTAACAATAGCCAGGTTGCGGCCGAAGTTTTCAAAACGTGAACGTCGAACGTCATGCGCCGCTTACAAGATAGCGGCGCTCGACGTTCGACGTTCACGTTTTATAGATGAAAACTTCGGCCGCAACCTGGCTAATAATAATTATATAAACTTCCCGGAAATCGCATTCGTAATACGCGAGCTTGTTATATAACTGCTTTTATCGTTTCGGTTTATCGAGCCAATTTCAAAATTATTATTATTAATTAAATCTATATTATGATTTTAAGTTACCTGTAACAATTTCACGTGTTTTATAAACCAGAAAGTGATTAAATTTAATTAATTATTGCTATGAAAAAAACAATTATTTCGCTAAAAGATACGAACAGAAACTTATTTTACTTTATATATAACAGAAAGAAAGTATGGCTATAGGTGAAAAAATTCCCTCATCCCCGAAGATTTTTAAATTTTTGCACTAGAAACGTCTAGAAATGCAAATAATTTCGGGGTTTTCCTGTACGTATGGATGTTAATATGTTAGTGTATGTGGGACGCGATTTTGTTCACTCTCTTTGAAACTTAATAATTCCTGTTTCTTTTGTCGAAAATTTCTGAAATTTTGCAGGAAGATTCGTGTAATAGGTGGTTTGATTCTGTTAAGTTTTAGTGGTTAAAGGTCGAGGAGGTGAGGAGATAGAGAGAGATCGTGTATCGTATCTCCAGACTTAATGATTTTACTCGTTACAATTTTTTATGCAACTCATTTCTATTCTAAAATTTAAAGTTTTTTTTATTTAGAAAAAGTAAAAAATTACATTACGTAACAATTTTATTTGCAATACAAGCTTTATTTTTTCATTAAAATTCAATTAAATTATGTATTCAAGTAATTTACTGATTATAGAAAAGATTGCGTTAGCTTTAAATGAATCGGCATATTGCTGCTAGACAACTTGCTTCTCCTGACAGGTTCCTATTGAAAAATTTTCCATATCCTCGCCGAATTCCTTTGGAAGAGGGGGTTTTACGCATTCGAGATTTCTTCCACATATACCAGAAAGGTTATATAATCCGCCGCATTCCTGGCCGATTCCCTATAAAAAAAAAGTGTAGACATTTTTGTTATACTTCCTTCCTCCTCCAATTAACAAATATTATTTCATCACAATATATTTTTTTTACCTCGGCACACACTTTACAACATCCGCAAACGTACATAGTAACTCCAACACTTGGACAATCCTCTTCGGTTTTATCCACACAGTCTATTTCAGAACAGGGAACACATAACAGCGACAGACCCACGCTTAAAACATGAATCTTTATGAATTACAGACCATCCAAAACGTTAAGAATTTATAAAATACAATAAAAAATTTCTTACCTGAATAAGCAAAACTTAATTATGAAAAAGGTAAATAATTTGGGGTCCATTTTTACAACTGATCTAAGGATCTGTGTGGAAACAAATCAGAAGACTTCTTGTAGATGTTTATTGTGGTTGAGGATGTTTCGTCATTCACCACTCGTAAATGTATCAAGAGTAATTATGAGTTAACACTTTTTTTTATATTCAGAATGCCGGAAAAGTTATATTCCTATCAGTTTATTATCTACAACTAATATTTCTAAACTTCCTCCCAGGAAACCAATTTAGTTTCCTTTCAAAATTTCCGGACTTGTTAAATTAATTTAATTTAATTATATTTTAACTAATTTCAACGCTTGACACACCACTTAAGAGGACCAGAACTCGAAATAAATGGATGAAATCAGCCTCGAAAATTTCGATAAAGACATTAGATTATTATCGATCACCTTATTGAGTGAAGTTCTTCATAAGTCAGAAAGTGTTTATCTGTGATTGGAGTTTAAAGTAACCGCGTGACCATTAAACAGGAATTTTTGCAAATGTGTACAGTTCGGCATGACCGATGTGATAAGTGAAATTCGATCCACGGACAGAGATATTCGAAGTCAAGGTTCTCTATGTAAAGTCTATTGGTTTTATGTTTAATCTGTCACCCCTTACATCATTTAGTTTGCCCATCTCTAGCCATATAACTTTTTCCATTTGCTCTTCATTTCACTTCTTCAATCTTATTATTCTGTTTACTATTATCATTGTCATCTTTATTTGTAAAAATGTTATGGTCCAAAATGTGAAGTAATTGCAATACCTAATTCCAGTGGCGGATTTCTGACAGGCGCACGAGGCAATTGTAATCTTATATTGGTTAATTTTCAATGTTTATTTCCCTATGTCTCACTTTTTTGAATCATCGGTATAGTGTCTACCAGAGTAAAAAATGCACATTGTAGGGTGTAGGGGTAGTGAAAATATTCAGAGCGGACCTCGAAATTAAATTGCGCCTGGGGTCTCACAAGTGCTAAATCCTCCACTGCGAATACATGATTTAATTAGAATAAATATAAAGCCGATTGAAAAAGAATGATCAGGTGATAAACCGTAAGGATGATTGAAAAAGAAATGTTAAACCGAAATCGTATGATTTGTTATGTGCCAGATAATTTTTCCCTACGTACCACTTTGGTAACGCGTGCGATAGATTCACCAGTCCTGACATAACTAACTAGGAAGTAGTCTTATATCGCTTCTCGGCCTTTCTTGGCTACGATCAAAGATGGGTCTGCCATCTGGCTGGGAGCTGGCTGGCAGCGATCACCCCGTGAAGGAACTACGCCTTATATCCAGCCGTGGCATCTGTCCTGCTTCGGCAGGTTTCTGTTGGTCTGGGTTTATACCCACATAGTTTATACCTGGGTTCATACCCAGGCGATAGACGCCATCCAGCATGTGCTGGAGGCGTCTATCGCCTGGCTTGAACCAGGCTCTTTTGTTTGGCTTCGGCCAATCCCTTCTAGTAGGTTCTTGTACCTTCAAGTGAGTAAGGCGCTGCATTCGACACTGTATCCCAATGTAGCGTCAGGGGGAGGATGTGCCATAGACCATGTGGAATTGAGATTTTTACTTTCACACACCCACCCCTCAAAAAATTTATGATACGTCCCCCTCACACTCCATCGGGGTGTGAAGGGGAACGTGTCATTTATCTAGTGAGAGGGATCGTGTAATTGTGTCCTCACTCCCCATCGTAAGGGAATCGTATTGCACACGATGCATCGTGCAAAATAATGTACTTTTTGCGATTCCTTCTCCCCTTAAGCTATACACTTAATTATTGATTAGTCCCTTAAATTATACAAATTTTTACCAGTTTTAATGGATGTTTCAGAAACAGTTATAACACTATATCATTTTTATTAATGTGGCTATCAGTATTTTTAATCTAACTTATAAGTGCTATACATTTTACTATCGATTTTTTTTTCGAAAACACAATCCAGTGTAGTTTAGATGTATATTATTCAAAAGATATCAATAAAAATATAATTATGCTATTCTTTTAATGAACGATTAAATACAATATAAAAATTAAAAAGTATAACAGCTTCTTTGATGATAAAAATTTTACATTAATCAAAAATCCATTTTTATTTATTGTAGTTATTTAATGTATAAAATAAGTGCTGATATTTACATTTTCTTATTCACTGAGTGCAAAATATATATTTAAGTTAAATAACTTTATAAATCACAAAATTATAACAAAGTATTTTTCCATAACCTTTATAACCTTAAAATTTTCAACTGCACACTTCATCATCACTTTACTGAAATAAGAAATATTATATATTAATTAATAATTACACAAATAATTAATAAATATAGATTATAAACATATATTATAAAATGTATTAAATATTCTATGATATAAAATAAATTTAATATATTTATTTTCATAAACAAAAAGGATGTAAAGTATTGATAATATATAACTTTACATTTATTATAGTTTATATTGTGCTTATACATTATATTATATCTGTTACACTTTACATTCATTATTTATTATATTGAATCTATAATATTGATTCAATAAGTTTCATGGTATACAGAAAATGGAAATCAGTGAGAATTCCTTAATAAATTCAAAAATTTATCAATATAAAAAAAAATTGTAAGAAAATTAAACAATGCTGAATTAAATTTCAACAAGAGTAAATTGATTTCATTGGAGTGTGTACAATTATAATAAATTTCTAATGATGCTTGAGTACATTATTTGCTCATAAAGTGTAATATGAAGACATTGTCTTCCTGCATAATTAGCATTAAAAATTGAAGATAAAAGAATTAATTCATATAATCAAATATATAAGAAATATTTCCTAATTGAAAAAGTGTTTTTTTTTTTATTTTGGTAAATATCCATATCTATCTTCTACAGGGTGAAAAAGAAAGTCACTTGACACCCCTGCTACAGAATATAAAATGTACCCAAGATTATTTCGCTCATGTTAGGAACACTTTAAACCAAGGGGAAACAGATTGATATGTGTTACATACATGACAGCCATCTTCGTAGTGGCCATATTGAATGCAACTCCCAAACTGTAAATGGGAAGAGTATCATGTGGCACATCATTTAGGGTCAGAATTTCACAAGGAATTGATTGCTGAATAATTTTATTGACTCTCCTCGAACGGTTACAGAGGTTATGCAGGTTGCATGATGTGCTCAATGTACATTCTTCGGGTATGTTCTATATTTTTTAACAGGAATGTTAAGTGACTTTCTTTCCCACTCTGTATAAGAGATTCTACAGAAAGCATAACATATACGAGATTAGGCCCGGGTAAGGATCCCTGACTCTTGATCGGCTACAGGTTGGACCATCTCGGAGTCACGGGATGTCTCCGTTAAGGTTAAATTGTCGGCGGGATTGCAAGATTCGGCCAATATCAGGATGCTGACACCAGTTAGGATAAAGTTAATCGCGTCCTATCTCGCGAATTGTAAATAAAGTTGTGTAGGAGGGCTATTTGTCGAATGGGGAGGTCAGTGAGCAAGTCGATAGGTGTCCACGGTTTGACAGAGACAGGTAGACAGGTTAACGAATAATCAAAAATATAAGTTTAATATGAACGTCTAATTCTAAACGTATATAGGATATACATCTATAGAAATACAGAATTTACATCTAAGGCGACACGACAAAATATCTATGCGCTCCGTTCGGTGTTCTAGCCGCTGTTGTGCTCTTAAGAGAGTTTACAGAAATACCTGAAAGTGAGATGTAGTTCTCTGTCTTTGTGGAGGTTGAGCCGTGGACGAAGTCTTCTATTCTTATAAGGGAATTCGAGCCGTCATCTTCTATGCAAAAGTTCTCTTTAGGCTATTCCGAATACGAAGGGACTGAAGTTTTCTCCTTCGTTCGTGGAGTCCTTCTTGTAATCGCCGTCCTAGAATGTCCGTTGGGAACAGGGTGGCTGGAGGTAATCGCCTGTATATGGCTCCAGATGAAGTCCACCCCGACTTGAATTCTCGTCTCCCTTTTATCGAATTAGCTTGGGAAAAAGAGTTAGGTGATCGACTGTTTGGCGATGCATCTGCAGGTGTGCGGTCAGAGGTGAGTCGTTGATGACGTAAAACTGTCATTAAATGTAGCTGTCATGACCATATTTGGTTGGGACCTGCAAGACTCCTCTATTAATTCGTTGGACGTTTGAATTTTCCTCTCTTAGCATCATCATCATTATCATCATCATCATTATTTATTAACATGTTTAGTACACATAACCTGGTTCCGCTGCAGCACTACCAGGTGTAAGTAACAAAATCAATATAAACTACAATATTACATCACATTTAACTTATTATGACATTAATTCAGGGTTATTATAATTTGTATTATTAACAATTATAAATTATTATTCAGTAGTTAAGTATTAATTATTATCTAGTAATTATTAAAATTAGTTTGGAAGTACAGGAGTTCACAATGTTACATATTACATAAATTAATAATGCTACAATACAATTTATATTACCAACAAGTATCAACAAATATATGCTTTCATCAAATATATTGTCAATTATACGTGTAACAACATATATCAGGTCTATAGTTTTATGGACTTAAAGAAAAACATCAACAATTTACTCATTAATTATTTCCAGTACATACAACTATATTCAACACATATTTTAAGTTGACGCCTTATACTACCAAGTATTAAACATATTTATCCGTTAAACTTAAATTGATATACAGTGTTTGATAGTAAGCAATACATTCCGAATACATTAACAGCATTATTATACAACGTAGCATATTTGTCATCAATAAATATACCTTTACATATATATTTAGCATTAATTACTTATATTAAAGTATATTCAATAACACAATACCTATTAAGTTAAATAATAACATATAATAATAATGTAGCGCAATATCTATTGAATTAAACAATAGCATATAATAACACAATATCTATTAAATTAAATAATAACATATAATAATAGCATATAATATTGAATTTACTATGCATTACTAACTATAATATTTACAACTCAATTCAGGCATATATGTTATGTACAATATTAAACCTTTATAATATGCATTGTTTCACAATAAGATACAGGAATTAATTATTATAGTTCATAGTCCTGTAAC